ATGCAATCCCGCTTGACAAGGCAAGTCCAGGGCTTTCCTCTGCCTCTTCATTTTCAGACAATTTTCCACTTGAGCAGACGACCTCAAGTGTGAAGTGAAAGAGTAAAGAGAGGGATTTGATATCCCGGGGAAACGGTGCATGGATTCACCAGAGGTTGACAGACAGGGCAGGGGCAGCTGTGCTATTTACCCTTAAGAGATTTCCTTGGGTCAAGGCTGTTACAGGGCCACGCTCTCGCCCCTCTTGATCTTGTCAGGATAGACTGTCAGGCTGATGAAGAGATAGACCGCAGATAGATGATGGTGTTGCACGAACACGGGTGCTGCAGCGAGCAGATACACAAGGCAGACCCCAAAGTGACTTTGGAAGATTGCTGCTGTGGATATTTATCTTTTTTGAATTTAAATTAAGAGGACATATGAGACAGCTTGAACTAATGCACATGCACATTGGGGCAGAACAACCCAAGCAAATCAGGGTGGATGCATGCAGAATGTGTGCACAATCACACAAGTTTTCCGTGTCTCTTGCTCCGCAGCACAACTTAAATGCTCTCTTTGGTGTTGACAGAATATTTTGTGAAATATTCAAAGTATTTTTTTTGGATAGATACCTGGCATTTTATCCTATCGCACATTTCTCTATTCTTCCCCTGTGCTGACAAGAAGGTCTTTTCTCCTCTCATGACGTCAGGACTATTATACTCCTGTGCCACCTCCCTTCAGGGATAAGATTTTTACGATTGCAACCTGACACCGTTTCTGTGTCCTATAAGCGACAGAGCTGTAACTCACTTCAAAGGCAGGAGGCATCAAATCACAGTGCACCCATAAATTCACCTGTCAAGCCCTGGCCAATGAGGAGGCGGCATTAAATCTCTGCTGTCACGCTGGCGGCCAATGGAAAGACGATGGCAGTAAATCTGTCAGGGCAGCGTCTGTTAACCGGTGTTGTGGTGTGGTTGGGGGAATCCACTGGGAGGGAGGGGAGAAAGTGAGAAAGAATAGATAACACAGGGAGGAGGGAACAGAACTGAGGGTTCAGAGGTATGCCACAGAAAATGCTTTTCTATACATTCTTTAGCTGCTGTGACCAAAAAAAAAAAAAAAAAGCATAAACACAAACTGTGGTGAAAAGGTGGAAGGCATGCCGAGGAATTTTTCGTGCAAAGCAAGACTAAACATGGCCTGAAGAAAGAGGAGGAATGGCTGTAGTGGTGCAGTGGGAGTGGAACAGCACCAACAGCAACCCTCATAAAAGCTTTACAGCAGGCAGGGCTGTGTCTGATCTCGACTCTGCAGTGAAAATGACTCAGGGCCCTACTTTAGTGCTCTTTTGCATCACTGCAAGGCCAAAACTTTAGTGTTGACAGCAGTAACCGAATAACCTCTTGACTGTCATGACACTGCACCATCCGCAGCAGCGACAGGCAGCCGGGCCAGATGCTGCCCTCAGGACTGCAGCCAGTCTGTAAGGGGTTTTTGAGGAGGGGGTCGGCCAGGGTCCAGTTGAGACCATTCACTAACCAGATGTGACCCAGTTGTGCAGCCTCAGATGATGATGATGGAGTTCCCCCTGCGGCACAGAAAACCCGAGCAACTCTGTCCCAGGATTTTGTTTTGCCATCTCACCATAAAGAAACACAATATGGCCCTGCTGCGCGTAACCAGCACCAGCTTTGAGCAGAGAGTATTTTCACTTCCAGAGTGCCTCCACTATCACTCTTCCAAAGTATGCTTTCAGTAAAGAGTAATGCACTGCACTGGTACAGGAGAACTGTGGGGAAAACAGCAGAGGGAAAACACATCAGGTAGAATATTTCCTCGATTAACAACGCCCTTGGTGGTGCACTTTCATTATCCTATCAAAGTTGAACATTTTCATGTGATAAATCTTACAGGTATCATAAAACAACTGGTCCTGCAAAGGCAATGCTATTCCAACCGCAAGAAAAAAGCTTTCCCTTAACAAAGCCCACAATTTTTTCACCAACCTGTAACGACATCCAATAAACCAGCCACATTTGTGGTGACGTTTTTATCTTACATCAACAAAAAAATTAAACATTAGCATCAGAATTTACAGTCATCTTATGTGATTACTATGAATACTCAACCCCCCCCCCCCCTTCTCTCTTCAGAAACATAAACAGTGCGCTGAATTACGGCAAAGGCAGACGAGAGTGCAGTGGTGGAGGTGTTGTTTTTGGCTGGCTTTCCCTGGAGTGGCCATGATTCTCCATTCTATGGGAATCCATAAACAGACCCAGAGAGGGCAACTGGGGCCATAAACCACATCATGCTGCTGAGATGCTGCTGAGGTAAAGGGAGGCATGCCTGGACCCATACCATCCTCTCTCAGCATGCACACACACAACCCACATGCGCATTCGAGCAGACTTTAATGACGTATTTTTAAAGGCTGTGTTTACAATGATTCTGAAGATATGGCTGTTTCCTTCATTTTTACTGCATCAAGCGCTAATTGTGCTAAGTGTTAATGTCCTTTGAATTTCCTTTGATATTAGCCTGCTTTCGCACAAATTACGATAATCGTAGATAGATCTTAGTACTGGGTGGAAATGTGAGAGCACTGGAGGTAAAATGGCCCTTGTTAATTTTAATACACTAGGTCATTAAACATCATGCGGGTCTTGCCCTATGTCCTGCTCCGACAAAGTAATGGCACTTTCTGTAATATGTTTACTGTATTGGATCCAACATACTGTCATTGTTTTCCCCAGCGTTGTTTCTCTTTAGAGGGGCAAGGCATCGGATGGGTACTCAGGCCCATTGACTATGACATAAAGACTCTGCAAGCTTACAGATGATGATAATTTATTGACTCTAATTCTCTCTCACACACACACACACACACACACACACACACACACACACACACACACACACACACACACACACACGACTCTTTCACTGTATGCATCGATCAATTACAAGGCTGTAGCCCACACGTCTCTGACAATTTTACTGCTTGTTATGTACAGCCTATCAAGCCATGGCGTTTCAAACTGTTATACTCATTCCTGTATAATTAATATAAATTACCTTGCTGGTTTTTATGATGGTGCAACTGTAATTAGCGGATGAAAGAAAGTCACTGGGCTGCCGATGGCGCTGCGGGGCTATCTAGATTGAGGGTCTGGACAGGCACCTTGGGTGGAATCTTTTTTAACCCTCTCTCTTCCCCACTGTGCCCTTGCTGGAATCCCATCTAATCACATTTACTGCAGTCTACATGTGAAAACCTTGTCCTCTCTGACCTTCATGTTTCTCCCCCTCTCACTGAAACCACACACTGAGACTGGAGTCGTCCTCATTATAACAGTAAACTGAGTCCATTTATAGTGATTAACTTTGCCTTTCTTACTGCTCTTTCTCCAGTAAAACACCAAGCAAGTAGCGTGGACACAGCCTCCATTCATGCTATCTCTGCAGTCATAAAGAGACAGATTCAAGGGCTGAATCAAACTGGAGAGAAGCCAAGACAATAGGTCCACAGGGCAAAGCCAGTAACAGTTTCATAGACTACACCGCTCACTATATATGTGAAAAAATCATAAGTATCCAGGTGCATATATACACATTGTTTCCCTGTTTTGTTTGAAATTTAAACTCCCAGCATATAGCTATTATTGATACATAAATGCAGATAGCATATTTTAAAAATGCATTTATGCATTTGTAATTTATAGTTTGGCCTGGAATTATTTTTATTATTTTCATTATGAGTAACTGAAATCAATGCACTCCTCTAATTCAGAAAACCTATAAAGTATTTTCCTTTAACAGAAATTCTCCTCATGCGCAGCCTATAGTGTGCACACAGGACTGTTTACATTTCAGTGTTTTTATTCCTGTCTCTCAAAATTCCATGACTGCATTTCACACTTCGACGGCCACTTTCCCACAAGATTTAACCAATTGTTTGCCAATGGAAGGTATGAAATTTCCCACAGGGCAAATAAATGGCCAGCATTCCGACATTACCGCTAATGTGTGTGATCCTTTTCCACAAACAGCTCCAGGCTAGATATCTCTACATCAAGAGCGCTCACTTCATCTCTTTCACTTTGATGTGTAAGCAGAAGGACGTAGTTAGATACAGATGAGTGAAGGACGTTTAAAATAATATGGCAAACTTATTAAATATGCAATTTTTGAAAATGCAGCAAACAGCAGCTGAATGACTTTTAACTTTGGCCAACAGACATGTCAGAGCATGGCATGTTCATTGAGAAGAAGAGTCTTGATTGTAAGGACAAGGAACTTAAGAGAAATGAGCTGAAACAAGACCCACTACCTAATATGGTTCAAATTAGCTATGGTTGGATCTGTTTGTAGCACAACCAACACTAATCTCCTTACCAAAAAACTCCTTAGAGTGATCAGCATGAGCACATACAGGGATACCTAACTTGAACAATGCAAATATATCACCTCTCCTGTAATATGCATCAGGTACTGACATGATGTACTGCTTATTCTCACATCTATTTCTCTCTGGAGTGTATCCTTCATTTGCATTAAAATGAGTGCATGACATTTGTGTGTGACGGTGGGGCTGCAGACGTGGGCGTGCACAATTCACGATGCACACAGTGGTTTGCTATAGAGAAGGAATGAATTAAGTATGACTCCATAAAACTTATCTGCATGTGACAGCACACAGTATTGTGGGGGCTCCTGATCATAGCTGCACGAATGGGTCCCCTCCCCTCTCTACCTCATTGTCTGAATGTATTTGTGTACCTCAACCTTGGCACTTTGCTGAAAACACCAGGAGATGGCGCCCTTGCTCTACCGCCTGCTGGCTCTCACTGAGGTTTTCAAGAACAAAGAACACACACACTGTGGCAGCCCTGAAATTAGGAAACACTAGCACATCAAAACCCGCTTAACTTGATTATATATAGAAGCATCACATGTGCTGTGTGACAATGATGGAGAAACTGTTCAACATATCACAGATGATCACGTGCCAGTGTCAATAAACATTTATTAATAATATCTGATGATGGAAGATCTCCGGACAAAGTCAATGCAGTAGAACCTGTGATCAGTGGTTTGACTAGAGTACTACTTGTACACTTTTTAAGAACAATATTCATGTATACTGAGTGACGGAGATAAAGCCATGATACCCACTGCAGTGATCTGGAGGAGGTGACAGATAGATATCAAATCGGATACAATTCTTGTTCCTGGGGATACAAGGAATGTTGTCGCAGAGTTTTACAGCATAATAAACTGGATTAAGAAGCACCCAGGTTCTGTAATTAAAAAACAAATATAACAAAACAGGCAAGCCTGAAACTGGAATGTACACCATATCTTATCATCAAGTGGATTATGTCATAGAATGCACGAAGAAAATAAAGGAATTGGAAAATTAAACCATATAAAGGAGTAGTTCTGGGAGTGTGACTGGATCTGCCAGTGGTACTCCTCACAGCTTTGAATAAAGAAGTGGAAAAGGGAAAAAGATCAGTGCCGTGAAGACTGGGCTGAACAGCGGCTCACTGGTAGACTGGTGCTCGGGTGACTCTATCGTAGAAGCGACCACTTGATCTGTTCTTTGGCAGACTGAAGAACCTGTGAAGAAAGACTTAGGTTAGACTGAGCAGATGATCTCCCCCCCCAAAAAAACAATTCAGAATGGCACCCAGGAGAGTCAAGCTGCACAAATTCTCACACACTCATAGATACAAGTTTCCTAAATATGTCTGATTTATTTATTTATTTTTAAATCAAGATTCAGTAATTCTTCCTATGAGAAAATAGTGTTGTTAAAATAAAATGAAAAACAAGAGGCATCTTGTTGAGGTAAAAGCAAAGAATTGGGGTGAAAAAAGTTGCATATACTTATTAAAAAAAAAACGAACAAAGAAGGATGAACTGGGGATGGAAATGAAGAGAAATATGAAAGGCCTAATTAATCATCTTAATTCATCGAATGAAAGCTGAATCATAACCATAAAGCATGGGGATTGGGGACAGCTATTAATCAAAGCCAGAGGAGGGATGGCGGTAGCCAGTCTCAGGCCTCTTAAATGACAACATTAATCATGAAGAGCTCACACACAAAAGCAGACTCCTGTGAGAAGTTAAGCTCAAGAGCCCTGTTAGCTACCTACTACTTTACCACAAAATAATTAGTTATCATGTACACTGTCATGTATGCAAGAGAAGGCAATGTATGACAACCGATAGGCCAGTGACAGAGTAGGGGTGGACAAGAGTGATGGTATAACAATTCCCTCGTATTCACATGTTCTGAAGTACTGCGTTTTAACTGTCGAAGCAGAGAGAAGATCAAGGCAGCACATTTTTTTTTATCTTACCTGGGTGACCGTCTGCTCTGTCAAAGGCACATCATCCCCCTGCAGAACATTTGTGACGTTATGTTACAGCAGACACAACAAAATCAAAACTTTGCTAAATATTTCAGAGAGGAGATGAGCTTACTCTGAGAGCCACACGGTGCACAACTTGTTGCGGGTCACTCTCTAGGATCACCCTGCAGGAGGCAGCAAAGAGTCAGACCAACAGATAGTGAAACCAGAGAAAAGGAGGCGCTGCATTATTACTGCAGCCAGTTTAACATGAGAAGACTTGGCATCAAAGTTTCACTCTTCTCATTTCTTACTTACCCTCCGTCCACAATCTCATCCACTGCCAAGAAGAGTCCCTCCATATTCTCCAACAACGCCCTCCTCTCAACATTTTTCCTACAGAGATACAAAAATACATACTGTAAACATCAAGCTTAACTTCTAAACATTAAGAGAGATTTGTAGAAGAAAAGGTTTTTGACATGAATAACAGCTGCCAAAACGTACCTCAACATCTGACTGAGCGAATCAAAAAGGCAATTTAGAACAGCCATGAGCATGAGCTGCAGAGAATAAAACAATTGATGAGAATCTGTTTGTGACTAATGATCTGCAATCAAGTGTCAGTATCATCTGGAAAAAGGTGACTTAAGAAAAAACCTGCATAATCACTTTTTAATGGTGCACAACGTTCATGCAAAACAATTTAATTTAAATTTAAAACAATTTAACAGTGTATTCTTATGTGGAGGCTCTAAGCTAAATAAGACATACATAGAGTGCAAAAAGAACACCGCATTTTATAAACGATAAAGATAAACGATTAAATTTAAAAAATACTGTTTATGTTATGTACTTGTTCTTCTTAAGATTAAACAATGTCTTTTTCCAGAGCCAGATAACATGTACAGTGTGTCACAAAGCTGAAGACACTTGACATGAATAATCTAAACAGAGAAGTAAAACTGCTGCCAACAGGAACAGATGAAATATTTGCTCGATAAATCATAACCAACACATTCAGTTTAACTGTTGTATTCTGTGGTTCAGACATTTGTATGGAAATGATATAAAGAGCAAAGTTTCTGATATGGAGCCACATCTCTTATATTATTTGGCTACATAAATTACACCACTGAGAAAACACGGAATGAAATGTGGAAGCACAAATTAAAAAAGGCATTCAAATTAAAATGCACAGCAGGCAACAAAAGGAATAAGTTATCTTCAAACCAAGCTTGGTGAGAAGTAAAAACAAACACAAATCACTACAAAATGTACACCACAGAAACAACAGTGTAAAATTAAGACTCATCATAAAGAAACTCAATACACTTGTTCAGGTATGTTTGCAATTTAATACTAATAAAAATAAAAAAAATACAAGATTGTAAAAATCAGGACTCAAAACTTGCTTCTTGCTCTCCTGTGACTGATGAAAATCAAAAAAATAGATTTACCTCATTTTCATGTGAGCTTCCAATCACATAAAAGAAGAGGTCTATGTTGCTCTTGTAAACAACAGTAAGACCCTCGAGTAAAGCGATCTCACCTGAGGGCACAAACAAAACACACGTTATGTAATTGGACACTTAATAAGGAAAGCAAATAATGATGTTTGATAGGAACACATCTTACTGTCTGTCCTGTGTGTTTTGTTGAATATGTTCTTCTCAAACGCCTTCTGTTCCTTCACTGTCGGGTATGTGTCATCATAATACTGCAGGCAAATTGAGAATGAAATTGTTATGACATTCAAACATGTGAATGAAAACTCACATCAACCTTTTAAGAGTTTGAATTAAGATTAGAAGATGAGCCTGGTGAGATTCTTTATTTTTTTCATACGCTCAACAAATCAAATACGAGCACACACTTTCTGACTTCCCCAGCTGACCTCTAGACATGAACATATTTGAAATGGGTCACACTTAAAATATATAATTTTACTCAATCGACTAGGTACAGTTTTAACAAACAACGCTCAATTAGGAGCAAATGCTGCTTTTGTTCGAAACTTGATTCAGCTGTTTATCTGGTTTTTTATTGAGCACCTAAAGCTATTGTGTGGGACTTAATTGAAATAAACTACAGAGCCCATGATCGTGGGATTTAATAAGAATGAGCAGTGATGGGGGGGCAAGTAAATGGCTGATTTGGGGCTTTTTGTGAGATTTGACAACAACAAACATAAAGAGTATTGCCAGAATTAGTGGAAACAACCTTTTACACCAGTTTTCATAAATTTGCAGTCAGTGTAAACATGAGGCTTGTGTAAATCCCAGTAAATACAACCTTGTAACATACTATATACAGATCATTTCTAATAACTGTTGTTTGTCTTTGTTACTATTTACATAAGCAGCATTCAGCTAAAAAAAATCACCTGCCCTAAAACACAACCACAGGAACTATGACTCACTTAAACATACATTCATATAAATGCAACAATGAACGAGGTTGAAAAGTTAAGATTGAAGTTAATGTTATTGCTCAATTGTCTAACTCGTACCTTGGCGTAAAGCCTGTCTCCATCGTTGTCCAGAATCAGAACTGCTTTAACAGTGTATAAGGATGGTTCCTGTTAAAGGTGGCACAGAAAGATAATCCAGAATCACATGTTAGTAACATGAAGTTAACTGATCACTGATCAGTGCCCACAGTCAAACATATGGTGACATAACCTGGAAATAAACTGGTACAAACGACAGGCAGCGATGACATGACTACAACAAACACAACTGAACCGCTCTCCAATGACACACATGATGATTATCCATTTCAAAAGGAAGACATGACACTTCCACATCACCAATAAACGCACGTACACGGAGCTAGCTATCCCGAGGCTAACACGTTAGCCAACACTGCCAACAACCGTTAGCTCGACAGCTAAACTAGCATATTTAGCTGAGGAACACTTATCAACAAACTGGTCTAGTGAAGCGGTTATGAATAAAAACCTGGGTGAAACGCACACTGTGTTAAATAGATACAGGGGTAAGCATTACCAGTATGGGAGAATCCATCTTGTTAGCTTGGTTAGCAGTCCAGATAGCGAGCTACCAGGGCTACGTCATACGCACAGTCAATGAGGCTGTTTCTGATTGGCCGACAGGGACTGTTACGTAGTGCGTACAGGGCAAAGTGCAGAACTATCACTTCCGGGGGAGGAAAAAATAAAGTATTAATA